GAATGGAATGGAATGGAATGGAATAGAATGGAATGGAATGGAGTGGAGTGGAGTGAAGTAGAGAAGATCAGAGCAGAGCAGAGCAGAACAGAACAGAACAGAACAGAGCAGAACAGAGCACAGCAGAACAGAATAGAATATTGGCCACGTGTGATAGACACACATGGAATTTGTCTCCGGTGCATAAGCTCTCAGTGTACATGTGAAACAACAAACTAATAATATTCATAATACCAAAGTAATAATAATCATAATACCAATAAGAGAAGGTAGTGGAACAGATGTGAAGGATAAAAGCAATACAGCCACACTGCATGGTTAAATAGACATAAGACAGTTCTGTGGGAATTAGGTGTTTGAAGAATTATTGAAGCAAACAACCCTAGTGCACAATTCACAACTCTACTTTATTAGGATTTCAAAATGGCAAAGAGATGGGACAGGAACAAACTCTGTAGCTCTACCCCAGATCTGCTTACACATCTTCCTTCTTCTGTGTCTAAATCAATGATGAAGAGGAATGAAAAAATGGGGGGGAAAATGCCGGCTATAGAAAAGTATCTGAAATCTATAGCTGAACATTTATGTAGCTCAGGGTTCAACTGTTGAGTTGTTGGTCTGCTCCAAGCTTGTTGTTTCCTATTGGTTTATCAGGCTGGGTGACTTCATCTGTGTGAGGGAGAGTGGAATTTGCTGGTTGTTTATATATAATGCTTTGCCCTGCTAGCCTTGATTGGGCTGTGGCTTCCTTCTTGTCTCTCTGTTGAAACAGGCAAACATGTGTTAGAAAACCAGGTTAGCTCCTTACCTGTTTTTCAGGGGATAGCCCTGATACTGCCATATAGGTGCTTCCAATGGTTTTAATTTTTTCAATATCCTGAAATCGTTCTTCACCTAATAACTGAAAACAAGGATTTCAAAGTCATGATTAGCATATACATTCTTGCTAAAGGATTTCATTTTACATCCTTCAACCCTGTGATTTATTGCTTTTGAGCAGGGATCTTCAAACTCGGCCCTTTTATAACTTGTGGACTTCAACTCCCAGAATTCCTCAGCCAGGCATGCCTGGCTGAAGAATTCTGGGAGTTGAAGTCCACAAGTCATAAAAGGGCCACGTTTGAAGACCCCTGCTTTTGAGTTATAGACAATATAGGCAGTCCTTGTCTTATGACCACAACTGAACCTAAAACTTCCGTTGGTAAGTGGTCGTAAGTCACTTTTTTCAATACCACTGTAACTTCAAATGGTCATTAGATAAACTGTTGTAAGTCAAGGACTACCTATACGTGAAAAAATACCTTCTCCAAATGAATCAGTTAACTTTAGCCCTTTAGCTACCTTAATGGCTGCAAATCCCTGCGAATTCAGAGACACATCAACACACTGAATCATATATTATCTTTTTTCAGCACAGTTGCAACTTCAAAAGATCACTAAACATACTGTTGTAATTCGAGGACTATCTGTATTGCATTGACCCCCCAATAAATATGTGTAGCAATCATCTTTCCACACAGATAAGGCCACACTTGGAATACTGCATCCAGTTTTGTTCACCATGATGTAAAAAAGATGTTGAGACTCTAGAAAGAGTACAGAGAAGAGCAACAAAGATGATTAGGGGACTGGAGGCTAAAGCATATAAGGAACGGTTGCTGGAATTGGATATGTCTAGTTTAATGAAGAGAAGGACGAGGGGGACATGATAGCAGTCTTCCAGTATCTCAGGGGCTGCCACAAAGAAGAGGGAGTCAAGCTATTCTCCAAAGCGCCTGAAGGCAGGACAAGAAGCAATGGATGGAAACTAATCAAGGAGAGAAGCAACCTAGAACTAAGGAGAAACTGCCTGACAGTTAGAACAATTAACCAGTGGAACAACCTGCCTCCAGAAGCGGTGAATGCTCCAACACTGGAAATTTTAAAGAAGAGACTGGACAGCCATTTGTCCGAAATGGTATAGGGTTTCCTGCCTGAGCATGACCTGCAAGGTCTCTTACAACTACTACTACTACTACTACTACTACTACTACTACTACTACTACTACTACTACTACTACTTCTTCTTCTTCTTCTTCTTCTTCTTCTTATTATTATTATTATTATTATTATTATTATTATTATTATTATTATTATTATTATTATTATTATTACTATTCAGGAGAGACAACAACAACCACAAGGACTCCTTGTCCTCTAAGGTCCCTTCCAACATCATCATCATCATCATCATCATCATCATCATCATCATCATCATCATCAATCATCATCATCATCATCATCATCATCATCATCATCATCATCACTATTACTACTACTACTATTATAAAAGAAGACAATAGTGTTAATGTCTTTGAAAGCAAGCAACTAAATTTCATTTTTAATGTGTGTCATTGTGCCCACGGTAAAAAAATGACAATGGTTATCTATCTATCTATCTATCTATCTATCTATCTATCTATCTATCTATCTATCTATCTATCTATCTATCTATCTATCTATCTATCTATCTATCTATCTATCTATCTATCTATCTATCTATCTATCTATCATCTGACCTCCAAGATCCCTTCCAACTTTTTATTATTATTATTATTATTATTATTATTATTATTATTATTATTATTATTATTATTGTTGTTGTTGTTGTTGTTGTTGTTGTTGTTGTTGTTGTTGTTGTTACCATGAAGGTTTTCATGAGATGTTGGAATATTTGTGTTGCTCATCGTTACAAGGAGTGCTTGTGGCTACTCCATTTTATTGCTCATGAGCTTAGTTTAATTATTCTGTTCGGTTGGCTTTATTGCCTGGTTTTAATTATGCTGTGGTTTTTATGCTTTTACCGTCCATCAACCCATGTAGGTTGCAAGAGGAAATAAATAAGCAAGCCAGAGGGCTTTTCCATAATCCTGCAGAGCTTCTAAACATGGTGGCTAAACATGGTTGATGATGATGCCACCGGAACTTTGAGATTATTTTGATAGTATTTGGTGAAGAATGAGAGACCTATCATCTCTTTCCTGACCTAGAGAGAATAATGTCTCCATTATTTGTCTTTTGTTTTCCAATCTAGGCAGTGTTTCTCAGCTTTAGGAACTTGAAGACGTGTGGACTTCAACTCCCAGAATTCCCCAGCCAGAATAGAATAGAATATAGAATATAGAATATAGAATATAGAATATAGAATATAGAATATAGAATATAGAATAGAGAATAGAGAATAGAGAATAGAGAATAGAGAATAGAGAATAGAGAATAGAGAATAGAGATAGGTAATGGGTGGAAGCTAACCAAAGAGAGAAGCAACCTAGAACTAAGGAGAAACTTCCTGACGGTTAGAACAATTAACCAGTGGAACAACCTGCCTCCAGAAGCGGTGAATGCTCCAACACTGGAAGTTTTTAAGAAGAAACTGGACAGCCATTTGTGCGAAATGGTATAGGGTTTCCTGCCTGAGCAGGGGGTTGGACTAGATGACCTCCAAGGTCCCTTCCAACTTTATCATCATTATTATTATTATATAGAATATAAAATATAGAATATAGAATATAGAATATAGAATATAGAATAGAATAGAATAGAATAGAATAGAATAGAATAGAATAGAATAGAATAGAATAGAATAACAGAGTTGGAAGGGACCTTGGAGGTCTTCTAGTCCAATCCCCTGCTCAGGGAGGAAACCCTATGCCATTTCAGACATATGCTTGTCCAGTCTCTTCTTAAAAGCCTCCAGTGTTGGAGCACTGTTAGAACCGTCAGGAAATTTCTTCTTAATTCTAAGTTGCTTCTCTCCTTGATTCCAATTCACCCAAATCTACTCAAGCCGGACTCACCTCCATCCCGGAATCCATCCCTGTGCCTCAGAATTAAAAAGAGATTAGCTGCTAGCTAAAACGGCACAAACGCAGAGGTTAAATCATTGATCGGCTGACCAAATGCCAGGCCTGCTGGCCGGGCCAGCTGTTCCTTAAATCTCACTCCCTCTCCGGGCGCAAAGGGTTGCACAAATTACCTCGTCAAAGTCAGCGATGATTTCATTCAGCAGGCGCAGGCACTCCACCCCCTGGTTGTTCATTTCGGTCTGGGAATAGAAGTCGGCAAAACCAGGGATCGAGGCAAACATGACGCCAACAGCATCGTAGGACTGAGAGTAGAGGTCCTGGAAACGCAAAGAAGGGCAGAGGAGGAAAAAGATGCCATTTAGTGACATTTGGCAGAAGAGATAACGGGTGTGCCTTTTCTTGCCATTAATATGTGCTTATTTGTTTGGTCTATGTAGCTGTCGGTCTCATTTGACCAGGATGATATAAGGTCTCCTGGTTTGAGCAGGGGGTTGGGCTAGAAGACCTCTGAGGTCCCGTCCAGACCTATGATTCTATCTTCTATGTACACCAAGGTGATATTAGAATGGAAGGGAAGAGAAGAGAAGAGAAGAGAAGAGAGAAGAGAAGAGAAGAGAAGAGAAGAGAAGAGAAGAGAAGAGAAGAGAAGAGAAGAGAAGAGAAGAGAAGAGAAGAGAAGGGAGCTGGAAGGGACCTCGGAGGTCTTCTAGTCCAGCCCCCTGCTCAAGCAGGAGAACCTATACCATTTCAGACAAGTGACTGTCTAGTCCAACCTTGGCTCTTTTATGACTCGTGCTGGCTCAGGAATTCTGGGAGTTGAAGTCCATGAGTCATAAAAGAGCCGAGATTGCCTACCCCTGGTCTAGTCTCTTCTTAAAAACCTCCAGTGATGGAACGTCCACGATTTCTGAAGGCAAGCTGTTCCACTGGTTAATTGTCCTCACTGTCAGGAAGTTTCTCCTTAATTCCAGGTTGCTTCTCTCTTTGATTAGTTTCCAACCATTGTTTCTTGTCCTGCCCTCTGGTGCTTTGGAGAATAATTTGACCCCCCTCTTCTTTGTGGCAGCCTCTCAAATACTGGAATACTGCTATCATGTCTCCCCTATTTCTTTTTTTCTTTAGACTAGCCAAACCCAAGTCCTGCAGCTGTTTTTCATATGTTTTAGACTCCAGGCCTTTGATCATCTTAGTTGTTAGTGATACAGAAAGGTGAAACCCAAACAAACAATAGAACTGTCCATAAAAGAATATACTCCCCTTTTATGACCCTGGAATCCCTTAATTCGGGGTAGAGTCGGGGTGACTGGATGGAACTGAGCATTTACTGACTGGATGCCCTTCCTGACACCACACTGAGTTCTCAGCAGAATTTTTTTTTTGTTTGCTGCCTAAGAGAGAAACGTCTGTTGCTACCTAAGATTGAACTCTCAACCTTCCAAGTGGGAGACAAATGTCTTTACCTCTAGGCCACCATGCCACTCCAGAAAAGAATACACTAAAAAAACAAAATATATTCAGAGGCTGTAAAAAAAGTCAGGTCATCATTACAACAGTCATTAAACAGCCAATTAATGGTGCTTCCTCAACTTCCCAACCCAGATTCCTGTGGGGACATCTAGGTTTTAAGTCTTCATGAAAAGTCAAATGTCAACGCTGCTAATGTCGGATGTTTTTGCATTGACAACAGATGGAAATGTATCCATCTTTTACCTTTTGCTTTTAGAGTTAGATGATGCTGGGAGAGGGGATGTGAATGAGAGTCCAGCTAGGCATAACAACACTAGACCTAGCGTGAAAAACAAGGTTATTGTAACCAGAGCTGATAAGGAATTGGTGGGCTGGAGAACTGGAGAGGAAGCCCACGCTTCAAGATAATTGGGGAATGTGATTTATGACTGTTAATTGGAGGAGGGAATTGTGCTTTGATACTATGTGCCCAGGGAAGCGGAATTCAGTTTCTGACTTCGACTATGTAGTGCCGATATTATGCTACTTGAATAAAAGATTATTTAAGGTAAAACAATGTCTCGAAGTTCTTTTGAAGAGTTTCATCTGTCGGAATCATGACATCAAGAGTTGGAGCCATCCAGAACTCTACGAGAAGACGGTTCTACAGGGCAGCCATGGGAACTGAGAAAGACAGGGCCCCACCTCTCTTGCAGAACAGAGGCGATTCGTTTAATTTGCTCATCAATCTAACCCTCAACAAATCATGTTGGAGGCCTGATGTGGACTCTCAGAAGACATGGTTAAACAACCAGGAAGAATTTGGAGTTTGTTTGGAAGTTAACGTTATCCTAGTTGGGTAATGAAACATCCACAAGGAAGCCACCAAGCTCAGAGAGCACCAAGGACCCCACAATTGAACCCTGAGCTACAAATATTCTCTTCTAGTTTGTTTCTTGCATTCACATTTCTCGATTGTGATCACTGTGACAACTTGTTGCAAGTTTCCCAGGGCAACTGCATCTATATTTATAGCCTATTGATGGCAAGTTTATGCTTGGTATGCTGAGCATTATGTAAACAAAATGGAATCAATCAGGAACAGTGATGAGGGTACTCAGTTAAAGTATTACATATTGCCATCAGTGAATAACCCGAAGAGGACAAGATCACAAACACACCAATGAGTGTGAACAGTGGCTATTGAATGTTGTGTGGGCATGCGTTGTCAGGCAACATAACCCAGGAGTCCCCAACTCCTGGGCCACGACCCATTAGCGGGCCATGGCCTGTTCGAAACCGGGCCGCAGGAGAGATGGGCAGGCGCGTGTGCGTGAAGCTTCGCTTGTGCAAGTGGAGGGTGCTTGCACTGGCACGTGAAGCTCCGCTCGTGAGAATGGAGTAGAAGGCGCTTGTGTGTGTCGCTCCATTTGTGTGAATGGAGCTTTGCAGAGCAGAGCGTGCTTGTGCGTAAAGCTCTACTCGCAAGAATGGAGCTTTGCACGCGAGTGTTCTCCGCTCACACAAGAGGAGCTTTGCACACGAACACCAGTGCCCTCTGCTCACACAAGTGGAGCTTCGCGTGAATAAAGCTCCATTTGCATGAGGGGAGGACGCACATGCCTGCCCCTCACATAAATGGAGTTGTGTATGTGCACCTGCCACTCACATGCCCCCCCCAAGTGGGCCGTCAAGCTGTAAAGGTTGGGGACCACTGACTTAACCCACAACTGCACAATGGGTGGAGAAAGAAACTGAGAAGTGACACCCTCTTTCCCCAGATCCTCAGACTGTGAAGTGGGAGATTTGTACTTTCAGACTTGCAAGATTGTGTTAATGCAGTCATACAATGAAGTAGAATTAGCTCTCGAGAGGTCTTGTTTCCTGTTTGGTTTACTTGGGAAGTCTGACAAAATCTAATTTTAGTTCACAAAAAAAGACAAGAGTCCAGGAATTAACGCCCTATAAACACCTGACTCCCTTACATAACTGCGGATCAAACAGCATCTGCCGCACATCTGGAGAGAGGCTGGGAAAGGTTGACATGCAATCTGTGTGCAGCCGCTTGTTTTCTGGATTCGGAAGCTTTCGTGCGGCGAGCCTTAAAGCCAATCTGTACAGAAAGGAAAGCATTCATTTCCCTCTTTGCTTCCCTGGGGAAAGGGGAGGCTAGCATATTACGTAAATAAGTGTTTGCTGTATTGAACCTTGAATGATCCAGGCAGCTGATGCAGAAACTCTCTGCAGGTATGATTATTCAATGCAACAGCAGGAGGGGAGAGCCTGGGAGATTTGAGGGTGGGGGGTCGGGGAGAGAGATCAAAGGCAGAGTTACAGAATTATTCTTGCAAATGGCAAGCATGCTTTCAGTGCTAAGAACAGATGTGGTTTACCATTAGGAAGCAAGCGATACCCTTTGCCTTATATAGCTACTCCAGAGGACAGGAAAGAGTTAATTAATATCACAGGTCTGGAAGGGACCTTGACAGCTTCTAATCCAGTGATGGCGAACCTTTTAGAGACTGAGTGTCCAAAAATTGGCCCCGCTCCCTTCCCTGCCCGTGCTCTGCCCCCACCCCGTCCCCCACCCCACCTGCCCGCAGGGCCACTCACCGCCTCCAGGGCCCATCGCAGATCACCCAGGCAGCCCAGCAGTGCTATGGCGGCCACACCCTCTGCCTGCACCCTGCAGCATCAACTGTGCGCGATGGAGTGTGAGGGCAGAGTCTTGTCTACGCTGCCTGGCTGCCATATCCTTGGCTGCGCTGCTCCGTGTGGCCCATGATCGGGGGCAACTCTCCTTCAGGGGGGCTTCTGGAGAAGAGGGGGTCATGGGGGGAGGCGAGGCTGGGACAACGGCACGTGTGCCCACAGAGAGGGCTCCGAGTGCCGCCTCTGGCACCCGTGCCATAGGTTCGCCACCACTGTTCTAATCCAATCCTTTGCCCAGGGCAAGGATGTGGATAGCATCCCAGCCAAACTGTTGTCCAATCTTTTGATGATTCTTAGTAGTTCTCCTTGGAATGACCAAGGAAAAGAAAGACCACACCCCAACCCAACACTGGCAGGGCAAGTTAGCGTATATAAATGGAGCAAGCCCCACTCTCGCTAGCCCTGGTGATGTTATCTAGTTAGGTAATGAAATGTCTGCAAGCAAGCAACCGAGCTCAGAGAGCACCAAGGGTTCTACTGTCCAAACTTTGTCTGAAAGTTTTCAAGAATGGAGCCCTCACAGCTCCAGAAGATGGGCTATTCCAATACTTAGCTGTCAAGGTCAGGGAATTCCCCCTTTTTAAAAAAAAATTGGATCTGTTTTGGGGGTACAATGACAGAATGTCTATGGAGATTCTCAGTCATCCAGGTCATAGTTATCCCAAAGATGCTTTTGCAAGAGGCAACTGGATTTTCTTGTTTTTTCTTTGAAGACGTTTCGCTTCTCATCCCAGAAGCTTCTTTGGCTCTGACTGGATGGTGGGGAATGGAAAGATTTATACTCCTTGCAGACAGCTGGTCATTTGCATTCTTTTAGCAAGTTGATAATGCTAATGCTACCTGCAAATGAACAGCTGTCTGCAAGGAGTACAAATCCTTCCATTCCCCACCATCCAGTTAGAGCTGAAGAAGCTTCTTGGATGAGAAGTGAAACATCTTCAAAAGAAAGTCCAGTTGCCTCCTGAAAAAGCATCTTTGGGACAACCATGGCAGAATGTTGAAAGCCTGACAGAGATTCTCTTTTCTTCCCCTGCGTCAAGATGGGCCACTCTTGAGTTTCTTCCTCAAGTCTTCCTATTTTTCCAGGCTAGGCTGACATTTTTATAAGGGGTCTTACATACATTCCTCAAGGGTCTATCCATTCTTCTTGACAGCTTTCCAACCTTTATTAAAATCAGGAAGAAAACTCTAAAACAAAGCTTTGCTCTTGGCCACGACTATTACTGGAACCCAATTCTTACATACTTCATTATCTCGGTCCTTTTCCAGGAAGTGACGGGCTACGTGGCTCGGCAGAATATTGCGTAGCATATTTTCGTTATGTTCTCTTAATTCTTTCATCTCATTGATTTCTTCTTTGGCCTGGCCGCGCCACAGAAAGTCAAGCCTTGCTGTGTATTCAAGCTGCAAAGACAGAAAAGCCTCTTTTTAATTGAACATGTAGTCCATCCTTAAGAATAGGTACCTAAGAGAAGTGAGGGTAGATACTGATTCGGGGTGACACAGTATATAGGAAGAAACACCAACTTCCAGATATGGACTTGAAATAATTTGGCAGTTAATGAAACTTGGTGCAGAGATATTCATATTAAACCAGAGGTCCCCAACCCTTTGGGCACCAGGGACCAGTTCCATGGAGAGAGGTTTTTCCGTGGACTGGAGGGGGCATGGCTTTGTGTGCTGCCTGCATCCCGCGGATGGGGCTTTGCTTGTTTGTGCGGACCGGTTACTGGCATGCCGCAGACCTGTACCGGTCCATGGACCAGGGGTTGGGGACCCCTGTATTAAACTGTTGGGGGTGATTTGTAGACTATCTTCAAGGACAAACACAGATCTAGTACATGGAAGAGGTAAGAGAAAAGCAGGCAGAGCTGGGTGATGGAGTTAAGTGCATCATCAGCTTAGAGTCGTTACATTGCCACAAATGGTCCGAGTCCAACTCCTCCTGAATTGTGTTGACTCTGATCTGATACCAATTTAGTATTGAACTTTAGTTGACTAGATGTTTATTTATAAACTTGACAAATAAACTTTATTGAGCTACAACTTAACATATGGTCCCAATTCTTTACGCCTGACATTAAACCACTCAATTAAACATTTGGGATCCTCAGACTCTTGGGGTATAGGAAAAGATATTTTAATTCTTTCCTCCAAAAATTAGCCATTTTCATATGTATTTTTTTTTCTTTCTGAAGTGAAAGTCAATTGAGACCATTTTTTTTCCTTTTAAAATGTTCCCTGGGTATAAGCTAGATAGGAAAGGTTTAAAACTCCTTTCCTTCTCCAAAAAGATCCTGATGTGGGTAGCTACTTTGAAGCAAATAAAATTAGAGAAGGAGTTCCACAATATGTAATTAATGTAATGTGTAGTTTGTCCTTAAGAATAGCCAGCTAAGTCAAAAGTTTAGAAACATATTATATCAATTCCAGTGTGAAGATTTATAAATGTCATTGCACCAATGATGTGTCCTTTGAATCTCTAGATGTGTAATTTAGTAAAAAAAAAACATGGGCATTATTATACTTTATTGCACTCCATGTTAAAGTAACCTTTTGTACTGAAGTCATACTGTATGTAGTGGACAAAATTAGCTAAAGATAAACAAGGATTAACAGAATAACAATAGAACAGAAGGGATCTTGGAGGTCTTCTAGTCCAACCCCAGGAGGTCCTATAGCATTTCAGACAAGTGGCTGTCCAATCTCTTCTTAAAAATCTCCAATGATGGAGCACCCACAACTTCTGGAGGCAAGCTGTTCCACTGGTTAATTGTTCTCATTGTCAGGAAATTTATTTTCAGTTTTAGATTGGTTCTCTCCTTGATTAGTTTCCATCCATTGCTTCTTGTTCTTCCTTCAGGTGTTTTAGAGCATAGGTTGACCCCCTCTTCTTTGTGGCAGCCCCTCAAATATTGGAACCCTACTATCATGTCACCCTAGTTCTCTTTATTACACTAGACATGCCCAATTCCTGCAACCGTTTTTCATATGTTTTACCCTCCACCCCATAATCATTTTTGTTGCTCTTCTCTGCATTCTTTCTAGAGTCTCAACATCTAGACCAAAACTGGATGCAAAATTCCAAGTGTGGTCTTACCAAGGCATTATAAAGTAGTATTGACACGTCACATATTATTGTGGGAGGTGGGTAATGTTTATTATATCCTACCAGACAGGAAGACATTTCAGTCCTAAAGTTAACTGGAATTTCTGGATATATTATTATATCCATAGACATATTGACAGGACTTTGTCTTTCTTATATTTGATACCATCCTTCTTGTATTACATTTCTGGCCCTAAGCAAAGCTAAATTATGACTACAATGCTTCATGACTACACTTTACAATAGAGGTGCAAAAATATAGGTCTAGTGCAGAGGTCCCCAACCTTTTAGGCACCAGGGACCGGTTCTATGGAGAGAGGTTTTTCCATGGATTATGTGTTGCCTACATCCCATGGATGGGGCTTTGCTTGTTTGTGCAGACTGGTTGCTGGCATGCCGTGGCCCAGTACCGGTCCACGGACCGGGGGTTGGAGACCCCTGGTCTAGTGCAGGGATAGGCAGTCTTGGCTCTTTTATGATTTGTGGATTTCAACTCCCAGAATTCCTGAGCCAGCCATGCTGAGGAGAAAGGGAGAGGTTTCCAAGCTGAGCCATGCCAGCTCAGGAATTCTGGGAGTTGAAGTCCACGAGGCATAAAAGAGCCAAGGTTGCCTACCCCTGGTCTAGTGCATTACGTTCTAACCTTGGTAACTTCCCCAAGCATGCTGACTGGGGAATTCTGGGAGTTGAAGTCCAGATATCTTAAAGTTGCCAAGGCTGAGAAGCACGGGTCTAGTGGTTAAGGTGTTGGACTAGGACTAGAGAAATGTGAATTTTAGTCTTGTCTTAGGCACAAAGCCTAACTGACCGTGGACCAGTCAATCTCTCACAGCCCTGGGAAGGAGGCAATGGCAAACCACTTGCAAAGTCTTGCCAAGAAAACTGCAGGGACCAGTCCAAAGCAGTTGCTAGGACTCAACACTGACTTGAAGGTTTCCCCCATGAACATTTGCAAGGTACACACAGGCACATACACAAACACACACCTATCGGGGAGGCGTCATACCAGTCACTCATGCTCTTGTCACCTCCCGCCTGGACTACTGCAATGCTCTCTACATGGGGCTCCCCTTGAGGAGCACTCGGAGGCTCCAGTTAGTCCAGAATGCAGCCGCGCGGGCGGTGTTGGGAGGGACTCGTCGCTCCCATGTAACGCNTATTTAAGCTGGCAGGACTGGCCTAAGGGGTATTTTTAGTTGGGTTTTAAAACAATTTTTAAAATAACAAAGGCCAAATTAATATTTCCTTTTAATTACGTTTTAATGGTAGTATTTTTGTATTTTTGTATTTGTTTTTATTAGGCTGTTAGCCGCCCTGAGTCCGCAAGGAGAAGGGTGGGGTAAAAATATAATAAATAATAATAATAATAATAATAATAATGAAGCCTGAGTGGAAAATGCTTGTTCAGATATTGTCCCAAAGGTCCTTTTTCAGGAGGCAACTGGACTTTCTTGTTTTTCCTTGAAGACATTTCGCTTCTCATCTAAGAAGCTTCTTCAGCTTTGACTAGATGGTGGGGAAGTCAGAGCTGAAGAAGCTTCTTGGGAGAGAAGTGAAATGTCTTCAAAGAAAAACAAGAAAGTCCAGTTGCCTCCTGAAAAAGCATCTTTGGGACAACCATGACCTGAATGGTTGAGAATCTCCATAGACTTCCTGTCAGACATTCCTTGTCCAGTTCTTAACTAGAATAAGTTGTGTGTTTGTGTGTGTGTGTGTGTGTGTGTGTGTGTGAAATGCTACCTTATTTATGAGATTTTTTCATAAATATTTATTCTCCCTTGGCAATTTTTCATTTTCTAACAAAAGGGAAAAAAACCCATTTTTTCTTTAAAGAGTCAAGAAATTTTTTAGCAGATTTCAGATCGTTATCTGCATTTTAAACAAAGTTTAAACAAAATGAAATCCCTTTCAAGTTGAGCTTGACTCCACGTTGTTCTGCTTTTGGCAACACAAAAGTGTTTTTCCATTGTCCTTTTCTGATTATTTTTCTCCCCTTTTTGTTACTTTATGTAGTTTACAAGCCTAGGACCATCCAAATATTGACCACATCAAAACCTTCTTATGCTGTTGAGATCCATTAAGGTCTGATAGATGCTGCCAGCTAGCTAAGCATCCTTCTTATCTTTTTTGTTTGGAAAAATAATGTGGGTTTATGAGTTCCTTTTTGCTTTAATGTAACTTGATTATGTCCCTGGACACCAGAGTGCAACAAAATGACTTTAGAAGCATATAATATTTACGTTCAAAAGTCATTGCTTCTATTTCCCAACGACTGTTCCAAGAGTATCTGATTTACCATAAATCTAAAGAAGTCTAATTGACTCTTTGTGAGAATTATTTTTTAATATAAATTGAGGACTTTGTAGAAGACATCCTCCAGACCTATTGACTATGGGAGAAGAGATGTCTAGAAGAAATTACATTATAGGGAAAGAAAAAAGTGCTAGTCTCGGGATTTTCCGAAGACAAATTTAATTAAAAGTGTACAGGTTTCTTATTAAGGATGGATCTGAAACCAAAGCAGGAACAAAAATACTGGATGGTATAAAGTACCGGAGAAAGACTGCAGCCTGAATGGGAAGTCTGACAGTTGTTTGCTATTAACCACCATTGTGAATTATGGGCATGACATTTCCCCCCCCCCAAAGGACTTGCTCATTCCATTTGAGAATGCTTTGAAAGTCTAGAGCAGGGATAGGCAACCTTGGCTCTTTTATGACTTGTGGACTTCAACTCCCAGAATTCCTGAGCCAGCCATGCTGAGGGGAAAGGGAGAGGTTTCCAAGCTGAGCCATGCTGGCTCAGGAATTCTGGGAGTTGAAGTCCACGAGTCATAAAAGAGCCAAGGTTGCCTACCCTTGGCCTAGAGCAACGTTCAGCAGCTAAAAGTTCAGATAAATCTCAGTCTAAAAGATTCTTTTGCACCTGGCTGTTTCTCTCATGAGAAATTCATTTCCTCCAGTTATTTTATCACAAGAGGAGGAAAACGTTTTTACAATGACTCCCTCGGGTCAAGCAGCAACTTAGGCCAATGTTTTTCAAGCTTGGAAACTTTAAGAAGGGTGGACTTCAATTCCCAGAATTCCCCAGCCAGCATTCTTGGCTGGGGAATTCTGGGAGTTGAAGTCCACCCCTCTTAAAGTTGTCAAGGTTGAGAAACACTGACATAGAACGTCCTCTAATTTTTTTCTGGGCCATGATATGGAAATAATTGGCTCTTGCTCTCTCCATGCTGGGAAGTTTTCCAGTTTCCTAATCTAGTCCACAGCCTGAGGATTTCATGATGGTCTCACACCCAAAACCAGGTCAGATTCTAGTCATGACTTAAGCATGTGGGGTGAAGCTACCATCTGGGTTTTGTTTGGTTCTTGCAGGAAATGTGAGCAGATAAACTAGGTTTTCTCAGTCTTTGCTGAGATTTTAGGTTACTGGCCGTTCAATTTTGCCAAGATTCTATACCAGGAGCCCTGTGGTTAGAATGCAGTATTGCAGGCAAACTCTGCCCACAGTCTCAAGTTCAATCCTGATTGGCTCAAGGTTGACTCAGCTGTTCATCCTTCTGAGGTTGGTAAAATGAAGACCCAGAATGTTGGGGCCACATGTTGACATTTAAGCTGATCAGAGAGTGCTGTAAAGCACCCCGGGGTGGTACTTAAGTCTAAGTGCTATTGCTATTGCTATCCTTCTCCCTATATTCAGAGGAGGGGCAGGGTGCAGTGGGAGGGAAGTGCTAAAATACGTGTCACAGTGTCAACTTTACCCCTTGCCTACTTACCTATGACTGTCAACGCTGCAAATACTGTATATTCTTGCTTTGACAATATGCAGAACTGTCTGGTATTTTTATAGTTAAACCAGGCAACAGGGAAAAAGGGAGGAGAATAAGGATAGCCAGGGAAAAAGAAACCGGAAGTAAATCACATCTTCCAAGTTGATTGGAAGATGTGAACCATGACCCCAAAATAAGGGGGGGGGGGAAATGCTTAGAATGTATATGCGTAACGGAAGAGAAGCCAGACCTAAGCATTTCCACCATACTGTACTGATGTCTCTGTAACCTTAATAAATGCTTTTAGGAAAAAATATGCCTGAAAGTCCTTTTAAGTGTTTCGTTAATCAGACACATGACAATGACATTACCACTTAAAGAAGAGAAGGTAGAGCTTGCATTATGACTTCCTAAGCTACAATTTGTCATGAGGACACCACTGCAGACTGTCCTGGATATCTATACAATTAGTCCTCAACTTATGATCACAGCTGGGCCCAAAGTTTCTATTGCTAAGCAAGACAATCAAGTGAATGTTGCCCCGTTTTTACAACCTTTCTCGCCACAGTTGTTAAGTGAATCACTGCCGCTGCTAAGTTAGTAACCCGGGTGTTAAGTGAATCTGGCTTCCCCATTGACTTTGCTTGTCAGAAGGGAGCAAAAGGGGATCACGTGACCCCGGGGACACTGCAACCGTCATAAGTACATGCCAGTTGCCAACTGTCCGAATTTTGATCATGTGACCATGGGGATATTGCAACATTCAGCAAGAAGGGCCACACTGGGCCATAAAAGAGTAGCTCCCAAAATTTATTTCTGGAAACTCTGCATCCTCTAATTTTCCAAGCGTTTCGAGGAAAATCTACAGTATAAATGGACACATTAGGAATTATCCCACGCAAGGCGTCTCTTGGGGAGTCAGCGCAATGCAAATAAAAAAGGGGTGGAGCTTTAACTGCATGTCTGTGCAGCTGCCATCTTGACTTTTTTGACTTACACACTATAGCAATGGTGGCGAACCTATGGCACGGGTGCCAGAGGCGGCACTCTGAGCCCTCTCTGTGGGCACACGTGCCATTGCCCCAGCCTTGCCTCCCCCATGACCCCCTCTTCTCCAGAAGCCCCCCTGAAGGAGAGTTGCCCCCGATCATGGGCCACACGGAGCAGCGCAGCCAAGGATATGGCAGCCAGGCAGCGTAGACAAGACTCTGCCCTCACACTCCATCGCGCACAGTTGATGCTGCAGGGTGCAGGCAGAGGGTGTGGCCGCCATAGCACTGCTGGGCTGCCTGGGCGATCTGCGGCGGGCCCCGGAGGCGGTGAGTGGTCCTGTGGGCAGGTGAGGCGGGGCAGGGGGTGGAGTGGGGGCGGCGCCAGTTTTTGGGCACTCGGTCCTCTAAAAGGTTCGCCATCACTGCCCTATAGACACCCCAATCCCATATGTAATAAGGTATTTCTTTCCCGCAATTTTATTTTTATTTTATTTTATCCTTTTTCTACAGATCCCCCAACCAGGAAATCTGCCATTCTCGTCGCAGCTGCTTGGATTTTGAACTGATTTTTGATTTCCCGACTAGAGTGAGTTGGATAGAGACAGATAAGATATTCTGAAACAGCTTTCTATTTATAATATTTCCACAGCGATAAAAAAAAAGGAAAAAAGAAGAAGCTGCACCGGAGCTGGCCTTATGCTCATTTTAATTGGTCTTTCTTTAAGGTTAATCAGGTCTTCAATTATTGAAGGTCATGAAATACTTTAGCCTGATATTTAATGATTTGCTCCAAAGGGGAGCTGTGATTGGCAGGTTCTAGCAGAGCAAGTTGTGTGTGTGTGTGTGTGTGTGTTGGGGTATTTTCTGCTGGGAAAAGGTGCATATGGGAAAGGAGGTTTTTCCTTACCTGTTGGCCGTGATAAAATACAGCTAACAGGAACATGGCCATAAGGAGCAATGAAGCTTCTTTCGTCCCCAGAAAATCTGTGCTATAAACAGAAAGGGAAGAGATAGAGGAAGAGGTAGCAATTAAAAAAAAAAAAACAGGAAAGAAGAGCAAAGCTTAAAACAAAAATCTTTTTCTATTGTTTTGTTTTTAATTCGTCAGGTACGAAAGCCAGCCCGATGACTTTGGGCTAATCACCAGGAGATTGGGAGATTTAGCCCTGCCTTGTTATGTGTGAATGCAGGAAGGAAAAAGTCAAGAGAATAGTAGGTACAGAGCAGGGATCTTCCAACTTAGCCCTTTTATGACTTGTGGACTTCAACTCCCAGAATTCCTGGCTGAGGAATTCTGGGAGTTGAAGTCCACAAGTCATAAAAGGGCCACGATTGAAGACCTCTGGTATAGAGTGCGTGTGGAAAAGATATCAGGAAATGGATGCATTGATTCCCTTTCAGACTCTGCCATTTATTCTCAGAATGACAGAACAACAGAGTTGGAAGGGACCTTGGAGGTCTTCTAGTCCAGGGCTTTTCAACCTTTTCACCCATTGTACCACTTTTAGGATATGGCAATATCCGAGTACCACCAGTCGCCTAGCAAGGTGTCAAAAACGTGATGACCAAAAAAAAAGGGAAAAAAGTGATAAAGTACAGGTAGTCCTCAACTTACAACAGTTCGCTTAGTGACTCTTCGAAGTTACAATGGCACTGATAAAAGTGCCCCCCCAAGCCACAGCCCAGCAAGACACCTGCCTGCCCGCCTGGTTGCGCTCTTCCTCCTGTCCGAGGTTTTCATTGTTGTGAGCATTTCTGTTGAGATTGGCAGTGGGGGTGGGGTGGGGGGGTGCGTGCTTTTTATTCCCCCCGTCTGATGGGTTGTTGCAGCAGGTTTTGGTCACTTCACATGACCCTGGGACACTGTGACCATCATAAATATGAATCAGTTGCCAAGCATCTGAATGTAAATCACAAGCCCTTGGGGATGCTGCAACATTCCAGCTGATTGGCGCTTCTTCTGGGCTCAGCAGAAGTGTCAGGATCAGTGCTGCTTTCCAGCTGATCGGCGCTTCTTCTGGGCTCAGCAGAAGCACCAGGATCAGTGCCAAGCTCCAGCTGGAGCCTGGCGCTGATCCTGGCGCTTCCGCTGAGCCCTGACAGCCCTGCAGCTCCAGCCATCTCTCGCTCAGGCTTGTGCAGTGCTGCCACCGGTTCAGCTCATTCCCCTCCTCCGTTGCCACTTTTCTAGGATGGTCATGTACCACCTGCCAGGTGCCAATGTTCCACAAGTGGTACCCGTACCACTGGTTGAAAAGCCCTGTTCTAGTCCAATCCATTGCTCAAGCAGGCCACCTTATATCTTTTCAGACAAATGGCTCTCCAGTTTCTTCTTAAAAACCTTCCGTGATGGAGCACCTGCAATTTCTAGAGGCAAGTCGTTCAACTGATTATTTGTTCTCACTGTCAGGAAATTTCTCCTCAGTTCTAGGTTGGTTCTCTCCTTGGTTAATTTCCCTCCATCTCAGAAGATTTCAGACGCAACTATTTCTCCCTTCAAAATATTCTATGCGGAATTAAGTCAGACACTTCTTTTTTTGCATTCCTTCTATATGAGAACTCCCTGCCCTAGCTGGGGTTCTTGTCTGGGTTTTCCACCTGATGCTAAAAACTCTCTCCATTTCCATGTCCCTGCTGAGATGACAGTCAACGAAAAGCCCCTGACAATGAAAGATTGACACATCAAACCAGCCGTGATATTGCTTTCCTCTTTCAGGGACCATAATAAGGCTTCCCCCCTTTCATTTCTGCCTGTCTTTTTTTCCAGCTGATGAGATATTTCTAGCATCACTGCAGAATTATCTTGTCTAGAGATGAGATGATTCAGGTGAGGCTCTGTATATTGGTCGAGGCTATTTTTGTTCCATTGTTCTGAAGAAATAAGCAGGGGCTGCGGAATAATTGCATACTGAGACGCAGCAGCCTCTTAGCATACTTTTTTTTTGGCAGATTATTTCCCTGCATGTAAAAACCTAGCATGCCAGACACCTCCACCCCCATCTGGAAGATAATAGACGCACCTGGAAGGGATTTTGTTCCAGGCGACTGTCGTGAAAATAACTGACAGGCTAGGGGATTGGAAAAATTGTAACAACTCTGTTTTTGACAGTTACATTTTACTTTGAGGAGCTATTTTATATAAGGAATATGATGCAGAGCAGAGGAACATCTATTCAGATTTGTTATTTACTTATTAAACGTATACGCCACCCGTTCCACTGTCTAAAGTATCTCTCCGTGGCTAAATTTTGGTTAAAGAGTTCCAATTCAAAACAGTTCAGCCCTTAAGCTGCAATTTGATGCAGTGGTTAAAGCTGCTGGATTAGAACTAGGAGACTGTGAGTTCTAGTCCCTCCATAGGCAGGAAAGATGGCAAGGTGACTTTGGGCCAATCATCAGGAGACTGCGAGCTCTAGTCCCTTCTTAGGCATGAAAGCTAGCTGGATGAATCTGGGCCAATCACCAGGAGATTGTGAGCTGTAGTTCCACCTTTCCCACTTGATAAAAAGCATCCACAAAAGAGACCTAAAACAAGATGGATTGACGACATCAGCAAGTATTGCGGTATAGGTTGGAAACATGCAGAAGAGGCCTTCATCGTGCAGTGGATAGAAGAAGAAGAAGAAGAAGAAGAAGAAGAAGAAGAAGAAGAAGAAGAAGAAGAAGAAGAAGAAGAAGAAGAGGAGGAGGAGGAGGAGGAGGAGGAGGAGGAGGAGGAGAAGGAGGAGGAGGAGGAGGTGGAGGAGAAGAATTCAACCTTAGACATGAATTCAACCTTAGACATGAAAGTCAGTTGGATGATTTGGGGCCAATCATCAGGAGACTGTGAGTTTTAATCCTGCCTTAGGCATGACAGCCACTGCATGACTTTGGGCCAGTCCCTCTCTCTTGGCCCAACCTACCTCACAGGGTTGTTGTTGTGGGGAAAATAGGAGAAGGAAGGAGTATTAAATATGTTTTCTGCCTTGAGCTATTTATAAAAAATAATATAAAGGCGGGATGAAAATCTAAGGAATAAACAAATAGGTAAACAAAGACTTACTCTCCATTATGATTGATGTCATCGTACTGGAGAAACAGGGAAGCATAAATGGTCTCAGTCAGGAAGCAGTAGATTGCAATCATGATGAGCAGCACGGCCAACTTGAGGACCGAATTGAGACGGAGAAACACGGCACAGGTCACCATAGCCAGGATACCGGTAAAGACGAAATACTTTAAAAAGAAAATTGGGAGAAACATCAGCATTTAGCCTCAGCAACCTAAACTAATATATTCAAAATCTCATAGAGAATCACGTAAGCCCTTCAAGTATTGGAAGATGGCTATCATGTCTCTCCTAAACGTTCTCTTTGTTAGGCTAAACATACCGAGTTCTCTTAGCCATTCGTCATACGATCGAACCTCCAGACCAGGGGTCTTCAAACTTGGCAACTTTAAGACTTGTGGACTTCAGCTCCCAGAATTCCTCAGCCAGCCAGTATTGTTACAGGGGGCCCAGCTATTCTCTAGGTTTATTAGTATGATTATTGGGTTGGTCTAGTGCAGGGGTCTTCAAACTTGGCAACTTTAAGACTTGTGGACTTCAACTCCCAGAATTCCTCAGCCAGCCAGTATTGTTACAGGGCCCCCAGCTATTCTCTGGGTTTATTAATATGATTATTGGGTTGGTCTAGTGCAGGGGTTTTCAAACTTGGCAACTTTAAGACTTGTGGACTTCCAGAATTCCTCAGCCAGCCCTGGTTGAGATCCTTTATCAACTTCAGATCCTTTATCAACTTCACTGCTCTTCTCTGCACCCTTTCTAGGGCCTCAGAATCTTTTTTTTAATATATAGAGAGAGTTGAAAGCAACATCATTGACTAAATGAGAATTTGCTGGGAAAAATATAGAGGAATTTCTCTGCTAACATAGACACATGCAACACCTGAAAACTTTTTGAGAGCTCTTGAAATTGTGCTGAAGTTACTGAATCAGCCCTAAAAGTCAACTCCCAGTAGGTCTTCTTCTACAATGGGATTCTGTTGATCACCGACAATCTCATGTCTAGATTTTCTCTCTTATATAGGAGAATTCCTGCATTTTAAGATTGGAATATCATGTTCCTGCCCTCTGGCTATTTTGGACTACACACCCCATATATCCTGACAATAGACCATGTGTAATCTGAAACATCTGGAGAGCCCTATGATGCAAATGGTTGAGCTAGGCCAGGGGTAGGCAACCTTGGCTCTTTTATGACTCGTGGACTTCGACTCCCAGAATTCCTGAGCCAGCCATGCTGAGGGGAAAGGGAGAGGTTTCCAAGCTGAGCCATGCTGGCTCAGGAATTCTGGGAGTTGAAGTCCACGAGTCCACAAAAAGCCAAGGTTGCCTACCCCTGAGTTAGAGGATCTTTCAAACTCACTTGAAGTGAAGCAACATGGTACAGACAGTCTTTGACTTACAACTGCCATTGAGCCGGGAAATTTTCTGTTGTTAAGTGAGCCATTTGTTAAGTGAGTTTTGCCCCATTTCGCGGCTTTTCTTGCCACAGTTGTTAAGTGAATCATTGTGGTTGTTAAGCAGGAATACGGTGATTAAGTGAATCTGGCTTCCCCATTGACTTTGCTTGTCAGGAAGCCACAATGGCTGTTCACATGACCCCGGGACACTGCAACCGTCATAAATATGAATCAGTTGCCAAGCATTCGAATTTTGATCACGTGACCGTGGGGATGCTGCAACGATTGTTAAGTGTGAAGAACAGTGATAGGTCCCTTTTTTTCAGTGCCATTGTAACTTTGAACCGTCACTAAATGGACTGTTGTAAGTCGAGGACAGTCTGTAGTTTCACAGTGTCACTGAAAGAAAGTGTTGCTTTGAAGTTTCACATGATCCTAAAGCTTGGTATCATCCATTGTTGCCTAGCCTAACATATTGTGTTGTCTTTTCTCTGTGCAAAATGATATACTTAGGATTACCTCTGGATACGAGCAAATGTCTGTAAAATATACCGAAGAGTTGAAAGTTTGATTCTTAAAAGGCAGTTGTTTGTCCAAGTCACACCAGAGCTGTGGACAAAGAAAAAAAGAATAAGAATAAGAAAAGCAATGCAATTGTTTGGCAGAAGCTTTGTTGGGAAAGAAAGGAAGAAGAATGTTTGATTGGGCAAAGAGAGAAGCAACCTAGAACTGAGGAGAAACTTCCTGACAGTTAGAACAATTAACCAGTGGAACAACCTGCCTCCAGAAGCAGTGAATGCTCCAACACTGGAGGTTTTTAAGAAGAGACTGGACAGCCATTTGTCTGAAATGGTATAGGGTTTCCTGCCTGAGCAGGGGGTTGGACTAGATGACTTCCAAGGTCCCTTCCAACATCATCATCATCGTCGTCATCATCATCATCATCATCATCATCATCATCATCATCATCATCATCATCATCACTACTACTACTACTACTACTATTAAATAAGACAATAGTGTTAATGTCTTTGAGAACAAGCAACTAAATTTCATTTTTAATGTATGCCATTATGCCCACAGTAAAAAATGACAATGGTTATCTATCTATCTATCTATCTATCTATCTATCTATCTATCTATCTATCTATCTATCTATCTATCTATCTATCTATCTATCTATCTATCTCTATCTATCTATCTATCTATCTATCTATCTATCTATCTATCTATCTATCTATCTATCTATCTATCTATCTATCTATCTATCTATCTATCTATCTATCTATCTATCTATCTATCTATCTATCTATCTATCTATCTATCTATCTATCTATCTATCTATCTATCTGATGTCTCCAGCTCTGTGAGAATACTCTTGAATAAAAAACCACTTGGGAAAAGGAGAAAAATAACCCTGTATCTCTTGTAGAAGTCATATCCTGAGGACAACAGTGGACAACTGTTTTGAAATGATGAAGATCCTGTAATGCCTGGGCTGAGAAAATGCTTGCATTGGAAGACATATTAAAAGGATCACCACTCAACCATATTTAGAAAGCAAACCACACAGTTCCCATTTTCTTTTATCCCTGTGGGAATTTTGTGAGGCCCGCAGGCATCCTTTCCAGGTTCTAGGTATGGATCTAGGACTGGGATTTTTTTTCCCTTGTATTATGCCCGATTTCTATTTTAATATTTCAAAAATATATATTAAAAGAGTGTTTTGTTTTAAGACACTCTTATGAAATGGACAGCCATATAAATATGATAGATGATAAATAGATACCATAGATAGATAGATAGATAGATAGATAGATAGATAGATAGATAGATAGATAGATAGATAGATAGATAGATAGATAGATAGATAGATAGATAGATAGATAGATAGATAGATGATAGTTAGATAGATAGATAGATAGATAGATAGATACAGATGATTGATAGATAGATAGATAGATAGATAGATAGATAGATACAGATGATTGATAGATAAATGATAGATGACTGATAGATGATAGATGATGATGGTGATGATGATGATGATGATGATGAATAGTGGACAAAGACACCAGTGTGTCATCTGAGGCCCCCTGAAAGACTGAATACTCCGGGGTTTGATTTCCTCCCTCCTTCCCTCCCTCCCTCCCTTCCTCTCCTTCCTTCTTCCCATTCCTTTCCTTCCACCCTCCCTCCTTCCTTCCTTCCTTCCTCCCTCCATCTCTCCCTCTCCTACCTCCCTCCCTCTCTTCTCCCTCTCCTTCCTTCCTTCCTTCCTTCCTTCCTTCCTTCCTTCCTTCCTTCCTTCCTTCCTTCCTTCCTTCCTTCCTTCCTTCCTTCTTTCATTTTCCAAGGAGAAAAATATATTTAAATACTTTCGTGCAAAATATCAGAAGCTACTATCCTGGGAAATCAGCTTCTCACAATCTTTCACCTTGCAGATTTTTGGGTTATAGCTCTCATCACAGCCAGCCAAAATGACAGAGTACTATGAAAGTACCAACAGAACAGAATATTTGTAGCTCAGACCTCACAGTATAATGATAGGTTTGTAGACCAGCATATTGGAAAGGCATTGGTTTGAGTAAAGTTGCTTTTAATTACTAGTTTATACTTTTTCTGCCCCTTTCTCCATTCAGACAACCTTTTCCTTCTTAAATACTTACAATATTGATGACGGCTCCCAGGAAATTAATCATAATTGAAGCAAAGATGACGACATTTCGGGCCAGGTAGGTCTCATTAATCCAGCAGCAAGTTTTCCGGAGCACCAGGGGTAAACATTTGTAATCCTCTGCAGTGGTTATCAGCACGAGAGCTGAATGTAATATAATTAGAATCGAAAACTGGACAATCATCGGGATCATTCTGGAGAAGGAAGTCAGATGCACATACTTAGAAGATGGAAAAACAGCCTCCTCCTGCATTTATAGGAAGAGTAAAATCTAATGTTTCAGGGCTTCATTAACTCTTCTGATTTCATCTTCTCGGGACAGATCATCCTGGAGAATGTCTACTCATGGAGTCGTTAAGAGTTTGACGCCAACTTACTGGCACTTAATCCATTTTTATTCTTGTGCATGTGCACGCAATATACTTGTAGATGTAGGAGAGGCAGAGCTGAGGGAGGGAGTTAAGTGTGTGATCAGCTTAGAATCAGTATGTTGCCACAAACGGTCTTGAATTCCATTGACCCAAATCTAGTGCCAATTTAGTATTGAACTTTAGTTAACTAGATTCTTGTGTAGAAGCTTGAGCAATAAATCTTAACATATGGTCTGATCCTTTACACCTGACTGCAGAGGACCTATGCAAATATAACCTTATATGACAGGATGACTAAAACAGTGCTTCTCTAAGACCAAATGAACTATGTGCTCAAAGGGAAACATTACAAGATAAGCATAATACTGCTTTGGAACTAAGATGAACTTTGGGGTGCTAGCCGATAACCCCCACTCCTGATAACTCTTCTGAAGCTTAATAAAACCACTTTTGTACTGTTGTGGACCTCTAAGTCAGTCCTAACTTCTGATGACCCCATGGACAACTTCATGCAATCTTCTTAGCCACATCTTCAGATGGGCCACTGACTTTTCTCTAAGGCTGAGAGACAGTGTCTGGCCCAAATTCACCCACCTGGCTTCATTTCCCAGTTTCTAGCACAGTGCCTTTAACCACTACACCAAACTGCCCTGATTCCAAGCACTACAATGAGGTGCTAAATGATAACTATCTTTATGCAGGAACCCAGTTTTCCTCTGCTATGGAAACTGCCAGGCAAATGGAAACTTTGCACAGTTAATCTCTCTATTCCAACCCATGGAACTTACTTCGAAGAAGGAAGTAGACTTTGGATGGCGGTGATAAATACCAGGACAATGAATGCACACACCAAGTTTGACTTGAACACCTCGTCCCTCATTTGGGAGTACTGAAATAGAAAACAGTAGACAAAAGGAACCAAGTAAGTGAAGTTTCTAGATCAACTCTAGAAAGGGAGCGAGGCTCGTGTACGAGGCTTCTGGGGAATTAGCAAACAGAGTTCAGTAAAGGAAGCATATTCCTGGGATAAGTATTAGTATATTAATAAATGAAAATATTTATAGCTGAGGATTGGAATGGGGGGAGGAAATCTTTGGTGCTTTCTGAGCTTGGTTGTTTTCTTGCAGACATTTCATTACCCTACTGGGTAACATCACCAGTGCTAGTAAGGAGTGGGTTTACTCTCAGATTATATTCTAGTGGCAAACCCCACTCCTTACTAGTACTGATGATGTTACCCAGTTGGATAATGAAATGTCTGCAAGAAAACAATCAAGCTTAGAGAGCACCAAGGAGCCCACAATCCTCCTCCTCCTCCTCCTTCTCCTCCTCACCCCTCCCCCTCCTCTCTCTGATGATGTTAGTTTGGGTAATGAAACGTCTGCAAGAAAACAAGAGAGCAGCAAGGATCCCACCCCCATTCAGTATATTGTTTAACATCCATACAAAGAAATATCCCATCAAAACAAACATGTTTGCAAGACCCATTGAAGAATGGCACATCCTCAGCCTAGGGGATCAGTAATTCCATCTTTGCATTGAGCTTTACTAAGCTTGCTTAGTCATCTAGTTAGGTGCACATTTTTTTAAAGGATGGGTGGCCCCATTGAAGGGAGAAGGTGATCTAGAAATAAAGGCAGATACGGAAAAAGTGCATCTAATGGGAATAGCTTTAGGAGCTTGCTTGGATTCTGCAGTCTCATCTTAAATAATAGTAGTAGTAGTAGTAGTAGTAGTAGTAGTAGTAGTAGTAGTAGTAGTAATAATAATAATAATAATAATAATAATAATAATAATAATAATAATAATAATAATAATAATAATAATATAGGTAGTCCTCAACTTACGATCACAATTGAGTCCAAAATTTATATTGCTAAGCGAGACAATTGTTAAGTGAGTTTTGCCCCATTTTATGATCTCTCTTGTCACCATTGTTAAGTGAATCGCTGCAGTTGTTAAATTAGTAACATGGTTGTTAAGTGAAGCTGGCTTCCCCCCCCCCATTGACTTTGCTTGTCAGAAGGTTGCACAAGGGGATCACGTGACCCCAGGACGCTGAAACCGTCCTAAATACGAGTCAGTTGCCAAGAATCTGAATTTTGATCACGTGACCATGGGGAGGCTGCAATGGTGTGAAAAACGATCATAAGTCACTTTTTTCAGTGCCGTTGTAGCTTTGAATGGTCACTAAGTGAAATGTCATAAGTCGAGGACTACCTGTACTCCAGTCTAAACTGACTGGCTGACTATGTGATGAACCACTATAATAACAACAAAAAGCCTTAGAAAATCTGCAAATTGACATTTCCATCTGTCAATTAGAACAGGCCAGACTGCTTGAATCCACACAATCTACTACCTCAATACATTATGACAGCCTAGGCCAGGGGTAGGCAACCTTGGCTCTTTTATGACTCGTGGACTTCAACTCCCAGAATTCCTGAGCCAGCATGGCTCAGCTTGGAAACCTCTCCCTTTCCCCTCAGCATGTGAAGATATGCAGGATGTAATTGGATGTGTAGCACTGATTCATTAGAATAACTTGCTATCACCCCCTTGTTGCAATATTCCTATTATTGTCATGCCCCAAACCAGGAATGGCAAGTGGTGATTCTCCCAAGCTTTCTTTTGCTATTGTTTCACATCTGTAGAAAAAAAAATCTTGCCATACTGAGGACTCTACTATCTTCATCTACAGTAAACTAGGTCAGTGGTGGTGAATCTATGGTACGCGTGCTAGAAGCGGCACTCGGAGCCCTCTCTGTGGGCACACGTGCCGTTGCCCCAGCCTCACCTCCCCCGCAACCCCTTCCTCACCAGCAGCCCCCCTGAAGGAGAGTTGCCCCCGAGTGTGGCCCACACGGAGCAGTGCAGCCAAGGACATGGCAGCCAGGCAACATAGACAAGACTCTGCCCTCATGCCCCATCGCGCACAGTTGATGCTGCGGGGTGTGGGCAGAGGGTATGGCTGCCATGGCGCTGCTCGGCTGCCTAGAT